CATCATGAATCAGGAAACAGAGATTCTTAGCACCAGAGATATCCTGGATAAATCCTTTTCCAAGAGAGAGTTACAAGTGAGTGACCTATGAAGGTAACAGGTAATCTTTATGCTAGTGACTATGAGGAATCTCATTATGGCACAGTGAGTTCACAGGGGAGTTAGGAGCAGGTTAGTAAATTCAGGAAAGTAAACCAAGGAGAATCTAGATGCTGAGTCTGCAATTGGACATACAAAGGCAGACCTGTGCCCCAATGCAGAGCCTCGTCTTACTGTTTTACCTCAGGAGCTGGCACCTGTTGCTCCTTAACTACAGGTTATGCTTCTGTTATCACACTTCTATTACACACTGTTTAATAAGACCCTGAATCTGTAAGTTAATTGTTGTGAGTGGCTCCTTGGAGAACATAATGGACTTCAATGGGCCCAGGTTGCAGGATCAGGGTCCTTCTGGGTAGAATGCAATAGGTAAAAGTATTAAACCTGCCAATGAAGATGACAGAACTGACATCTCTTTAAAAAACATACTACAAACCCCCAGGAACTATTCAGGAACAGAAAACCACAACTGTTTACCTTTTTATGAGTGACTGCTCGAAGTTCTGAGGGCAAAAAATAACTGGTAATGGAAATGGAGTGAGGAAGAAGGAACTAAAAATGAGTCAGTTAAGTTGTGCTGGGTAAAGATAAAGGGAGGGGAAAGATAAGGACAGCTAAAGTTAATGATAACTATGGGGCGTAGAGTAAATGGCAAGAGTGCTGGTAAATATAAAAGAGGAAAAAGAAACAGTAGAGAAAATGTAGGTTCATATATGAGAAAGAAGTAAAATCAATGTTTATTAATAAATGGCTGAGCTTCTGGACTACCTTGCCATGACATGGAAAAATACAGAAAGAAGATGTGGACAGCTTCAGAAGAAATTAAGGTCTTGACTGGATAGATGTTCCAAGTACCCAAGTCATTTTGAAAAATGAGACTTAGGTTCCTAATCACTCAGTTCTTTAGAAAATGTCATTCCTTGTTAGTATAGAAAAGCAGGTGAGGAGATACTGGGACATGTGGGTCTGTACAAGAGGTCTGGATGACAAAGCCAGTGTGCACTTATCTGCAGACTCATGTAAAGCCACAGAAGGAAAATTAAAAAGCCCAGCTAAAAATCACTCTATATTTCTGTCAAGGCTTCCTTTCAGAACCAGCACAAATCAGCAGCCAAAGCATTTTTGGCTTCATCAAGGAGGGGAGAGGAGGGGGGAGACTCATCCTTTTCACCAGCTTTTCTATTCCTTCTAACTCCACCGAGGTCAGCTATGAAAGAGGTTGAGATCACCTTGCAGGCTGGAGCACCTTTACACCTTGGCTGGGACAGACTGTTCCCTCCACCACTGAGGATTTGGGAGGACCGGGTATATGTAAAGCACCTTTTGTGGAACTGTAGCCCACTCTGCGAGTTTGAGTGACTTTCCTTGGGAATAGAGCATGGGTTAAGGAATGGCCTGTAGGCGGGGAGAACAGGACATGCCCATTGAAACCAGCTTAGAATCTGTTGAAGGGTTATTAGGCTTTAGACATTTCTTTTCTGGTTGGCCATCTCCATTTAAGAGGCCTGCGAGGAGAACTATCATTAAGGGAGGCCTATCATCACATTTTCAGAGGAAACGTGCCCTGTAGGCAGGTGGAGAAAACCAGAGATGCTTCTCTGAAATCTGTGGAGTTTCCTCTCCCTTCTTCAGGCTTTTCCACACAGGGGAAAAACTAAGCAGCTACATCTGAGCACCTTCAGAGGGCTAGCCAGCAACTTAACTGAACCATTGGAGATTATGTCTGAATGGCCAAGAAAAGGCCGGAAGAGGGAAGGAGGGAGGGAGTGTGTGTGTGTGTGGCACAATGTACTGCTGAACTTTACAACAGGGGAAAGGTGTGATCCTACTAATTGCTGTCCATTAAAGCTACAAAAGCAATGACACAAAACTCCCATGGAAAAGATGTCTAGAAAATAATGGACCCAGGGCAAGAAAATAACTTACTGAAGCAGGCCTCCGTCTTCACTGAGCACAGGCTGAGGCCCTTTGCAGTCAGTCAGCTGGGGAGAGTCACAAATATCAATAAGAACAGAGAGGAAAATGGGTTTAGAGAAGGCAGAAATGAGGAGCAAATATTAAAATGAGATTCAGATTTGACAGTTGCGAGCCAATGGATGTTGAAACAGGGCACAGGGGCAGAGCAGCTAAGGTGTCACACTGCAGGTCCAAGGACATGAGTTTGACTTTGCTCTAAACTAATCCCAAAGGCTGTCTCCGGTTGACCTTGCTGTGTGTGGGTACCTGGCCAGTCAGGCTGGGGCATCAAGGGGGACCAGGTATGATGCTGGCCACATCATTCCTTTGAGTGCCACTAGCTAGAGAAACTGTTACATCTTCATTATGCCACCCTGTGGGCTGCTAGGCCTGAGTGGACTTTGACCTAACAGATGTGGAGAAATATAGATTAAAATTTAATTGTAGGAGATGACTGAAAATTAGCAGTGCCAAAAACAAGTCAAGGGCTTTAGGGGTCAACAAACCTTTGATGAGCTCGCTATACAATAACAAGACATTGTGATTTTTGGCTGTGTTTGCAAAGGCATCACATCACAAAACAGGAAGAGACAAGTCTGTGCATAATGCTGTGTCCATCTCTGGGCACCGCTAGACTGGGAAGATATCAGCAAATTGGAAAGGGCTCAGGAAGGAACAAGAAAAATGACTAAGTGTCTGTGGCGATTGATTAATGAAAGAAGAGAAGATGAACTACATACAACGACTGAGAAAGGATGTGGTAGCTGGGTACAGGTATTTGGAAGGTACAAACATCCAGAAGGGAAATTTTTTTTCAGGGGAGTAGGAGTACAATGGATGGCTATTTCTAGGAGTAATTGGGTGAAACCAACCAAATGAAAATATAAGCCAAATATCTTCCTGGCCAGGAGACCTGTTAGACCGTGAAATAGTCTCCAATGGGAAGAGGTAGAACCCCATTACCTGAGTCATTTAAAACTAAACTGGACAAAGCAATCGGGCATGCATTGTAAATCCTGCCCTGGCAGGGGAATGGAGAAGATGACCTAGTGAGTCTTTTCCATCTCTAATTTCAATGTTTAATACGAGGAATCGCAAAATACCTTGTCATGATAGGTAGACTAATGAGTCAGCACTTCGGTAGTGCCTACAATCATGATGAAGGTAGAAAGAGAAATGTCAAACAGATTAAGTAGGTAGAATAATAGGGGAGAGAGCTGTATTGCGAAAGCAGCAAGCATGCAAGGACTCTACTTTCTGACGATTTATCCTGAGGGGAGAACAGAAAGAGCCACTAACAGAAGGGAAAAGGGAATGTGAATCCATTCTGACTGATGTGGCCCTAGATTAAGGAAGTCAGCCATTCTTAAACCGAGAGGGACTTTCATTCTCCCACTGGTTCATTTAATAGGGTCGGGGTCTTTCAAAGCTGAAACTGACCCTTGTGAAACACAGATGCTCTGAAGTTTGTCCCATCATACAGATTGCAACATGGCCTACCAGTGGTGGAGGGAGCCCCTGGGGGTGGGAAGGGAAGGGATACCTCAGGGATACCAATAAACTCTCTCTGTCAATACTGCATTGCTTGTGGGGAAGCACTGCATTCCATGCAGAGACGCGACTGCCAGGCCAGGTGTGCATATTAAAACCAGGACTAATCCAGCCTCTAATGGCAGGATTTGCTTCCACTCCATGCCTTTCATTGCACCCCATCAGTTAACTGGCACACAGTGGATTCAAACCTATGGTGCCTTAATCAGATGCTCACGTGGGAACTTTTGCCTTCCAGTAACATGGGGATACACACAACCTTATTTTTTGGCAAGAAATAACCCATGCGCATGCACACACACGTACACACATGTGCATACACATACGTATGCACACACATCCATGCACGTGCCTGCACATATACATACACGTGCCCACACATGCAATATTACTTGTTCCAAGCACTAAACAAAGCGAACTCCCAAGCCTTCCTAAATGCTAGGACCGTTCCTAAACATCATGAGCTACCAAAACCAAACAACCAAGCAAAGGTTGGGCTCTTTATCTTGGCTTTAGGAGCTTGTTTGATCTCCAAGGCGCACACAGGCCTCTGACATTTCCCTTTCCAGCTGCACAGGTCAGGATTTCTGTCACGGTGTGGGAGAGAGGAAGGCTCACGGACTCGCAGCCTTCCTGCGGGGCTTGTAAGAAAAGAGTCTCTGGGGCTGGCAGCAGTGCCTGGAACGTCCTCCCCAGACCCTGATGCCTCTTCTGGCAGCTACACAAGCCCCTCTGAGGTTGGCAAATGGGTACAGGATGACCCAATGGCCTGCACAAGCCTGAAGAGCAATAAGCACAACCCCTCTGGTTGCCCCCAGCTGGGGGCTGTGCTCTCCCCGCCTGGCCCGGCCTGGAGGCAGCGGAACAAAGGCTCTTGTCTTCTGTCCCCCGGCCTCACAGAGCCACAGCGGAGCCGGGGAAAGAAATGCTGCGGCGGGGTTGCCTGTGCCCACTGGCCAGGAGGGGAGCTCCCTCCCCTCCAAACAGAAAACCAACCCCAAGGGGGAGCACTTCCAAGCATGCCCTTCCCCCCCAACCCAGATGCTGCTGTTGCTGCTTTGCACCCTCTCCCTCCTGTCCCCCAGGAGACAGCAGCCCAGTGTGGATAGCAGGGATACTGCGGGCTTGGGCTGGGGGATCTCCGGAGGCCCCTTCCAGGCCAGCTGGATCTATAGGGATCTGCTTGTTTTGTCTGCATCCACTGCTCGAGCGCCAATATTGAAGTCCCCCCCGTCTCACCGTCAATTTGGGCATGCTTTTGTGTCAGCAGATCCCCCTTCCCTCCCCTTCCCTTTTTTTTCCCTCCCCTATCCTCCTCCTCCTCCTCCTCCTCCTCCTCTTCCCCTTCCCGTCCCCACCGCGTCCTGCTGCATTTGTTTCCCCGCTGCCCGGCTGTAACACGAGCTTGTGTTTCCTGGTGCTGGGGCTCCTTTAAGAGGCAGAGCTCGGTGCTGGGAATTCACGTCAGTTTCAGCCCTGAAACTCTCCAGATCAATGAGCAAAGAGCTTTCTCACTTCTGCCTTTCAGTTTCTCTCTTCCAGGAAGGAAAACATTCAGAGGGAGAGGGAGCGGGAGCGAGGGCAGCAGCAGCCGCAGCCTCCGCCTCACCCTCCCGGGCTGGAAGCAGACCCCCCTGGCAGCCCCTTCTTCCCCAGCCAACAGCACCCCCACCAAACTATGCGGGCTGCCACTCCCAGGGGCAGATCTGCCGGCACCTTGAGCTCTTTGGGGAAGATGGTCGGAGTAACTTCTCCTTGAATGATTGCGTCTGGCTTTGAAGGATTTCTGGGTTGGGGAGAGGAAAGGAAAGTGGGAAAACCCCCCTAAGAACTTCCTGATCTCTGTCGTTCCCTCTCTCTGCCCTCTCCTTTTTTTTTTTATTTCCCACCCCCCCCTCTGTGAGACATGTCTGAGGCTCCTGCTCAGTGTTGCATCAAGGTAAAAACCCTATCCCCCCCTTTATTTTGAAACCTGCCTAAGATTTGGCTTTGCTGGGGTGGAGATTGCAATGTTATATTTCTATTTTTAGGTGTGTGTAGGGGGGGTGGGGGGGGAGAGATGGTGCTTATTTTTTTATTTTACTGTTCTGTGTTACCCTTTAGTTTAACCTTGCTATTCTTTTTTCTTCATCTCTAAAGAGAAACCGAGAAGCCTTGTCAGAGGCAGGCGAAGCGAAGCTTGTTTTGTGTTTCATTGCTTTGTTTCCTAGTTTTGGCAGTAAACACTCAGCGATTACTCTTTTTAAACCTGATCTCTGTGTCTAGGAGCACGTAGAATGAATAGGAACTTTTTGTGCTTTTGGGGGGAGGAAGGGGGGGGGGGGGGGAGGGAACTGGGAGAAGGAGTTCTTTTCCAGTAGAAGACTGAATAGAAACATTTCTTTTACAAAAAAGGATGATTTGGTACAATGGGGAAAGACTTCTTTTCTGCAACAAGAATAACTTGCTATAAATTTAAACACGTTGCGCCTCCATTAGCGCTTGATATGCAGATGTTCTACATATGATCTCTCCATTGGGTGCAAAGTGTGTGTGTACGTGTACAACATATATATTTTATTCTCAAAGGTAATCAACAAGGATTTTTTTTTAAGTGTGAGGCATCCTGACAACTGAAAAACAAGTGAGAGACTCTTGATTAACACAAAGAGGAATTACCTATGCAGTTTGGCACTTAAGAATGCTTGTGTTTGTCAATAGAGTGGGGGAAAAAACCTGTTGGTGTAGAAATGGCTCAGAATTGGAGGCATATTTTTTTTCTTTGCTGGAGATAGTATGTTGGATATGTTAAATTAACACTTAGTCTGGTCCTTTACAGTCTAGTAGCATTGGAGGTTTTGTCCCCTGCTGTAAAGTTTGTGGAAAGTTTGCTACTGTAAAAGAAGTGTAGTCCATTTGAGGGCTTTTTTGTAATCAAGGTGTTTAGTTGTGTCACTTATCTGTGAAGGTGTCATGCAATATTGTGGGAGTAGAGTGCTACACACTAAACTCTTTGCCTTAGGAGGGGCCTGAGGAGTGCGCTTCTTTGTGACTTGGCCTATTGAACATGTTACACTGTGAAGTTTTTCATTTTAGGTGGAGGCAGTATAAAGCTGAGACAACGGTGGGGGGGAGACCAAATTCCATTTTTGGTTTTTTTGGCCATACTGATCCTTCCTATCAGGCTATTCTATTGAGATAGTGATTTCCTTTTTATTTTTCTCCCTGATTTTATTTTTTTAATTATTTTTTCCCTTAGGAGAAATTTTGCTTCTTTTGCAACCTGGCTTAGTCCTATTCAAACAAGTAAACACTATATGGTTGTTTGTCTATGCCTACAAGAAAAAAAGGTGCTTTCCATTGCATTGTAAGGAGGGGCAGCTTGCAATAAAAAGTTGTTATCCCACCTGAAAACAATGGAACTCTGATGGGTAAACTGAATTCAGTGGTATGTCCCGTGAGATCTTGGGACTTAGAGAATCTAGTCTGATTTCTGTAATTGGGACAGACAAATTATATACTGTAATAGGTGTTATATGTTGGTTAACAGGATGGCCAAAAATGCTAGTATGGGGAAAACCTGCATTATGAACAAGGCAACTAAAATAGCTATTTGGTTTTTTGTGGGGGGGAAGGGGTTTCCTAACTAATCCTACAAAAACACAATACTTGTTCTCTGGGTAGGAGAATGCTATTAAATAAGAACCAGTAGTGTTGCTAAGTGGTTCTTTACCTTGTGTTAGAAATGCATCATTTTTACAAATAAATGATGCTTACTCCTACTCAAGTCAGTGGAAACTCCCATTGACAGTAGTACTGGTCCCTCACAGTCTCTGTTATGATACATTATGGAGTCATATTATAAGGAATTAACTGCATATGACTTTTCCCATATATTCCTACTACATCATTTTAATAGTGTAAACATGCAGATATTTCATCACACATAAGGGACATCATTAACCCTCCCCCCCCTTTTTTTAAAGTAACTAATGGTATTAAGCATGGTTTGAATTTTAAAAAGTCCTTAATGATGTTGTAAGTGTATTCTGTTCTCATGAGATGAGTATTACTTTATCAAGAGAGAAATTGGCTACTATGTAGGGGAAACAGTATGTCCGAAGTGCTGTCAAATGCACAGAATACACAAAAATGAAGAAATAGGGAAGGTAGTTCAATTTATCTCATTCATAGTCATTTTGGTTGCATGGATGATGCAAACTATTCAGCCAGAACGTATTTTAAGTCAAAGATCCGCCCCCCTCCACCTTTAAAAGTCACACCGTTGTGGGTAACTTTTTCTCTTCATTTGGTTTTGAACAGTCGTTGTCTTTAAACTTTTATTCCATTCAGAACAGATTCAAAGTTGGCAGTTCATCAGAAGTTGGAGTAAAAAATCTTTAAGTGATGTGTGTGTAACTCGATGAGGCTGATCTATTATTTCACTGTATTACCATCTCAGCTTGCTGTGTTTGCTAGGAGTCTATACAGACAAGCATTGTGCTGTGTTACAAATCTGCTACTTAAACTGATGTTGCTGATCAAGGCAGCAATTGGTTCAATGTTATTGTAGGAATTGCAAAGCCATTTCACTGGGAGCTCTGAAGTGGAAGTTGTGTTGTTTGTAAATGTATTCTGTTAAGGTGTTTTCCTCCACCAACAAGGAGCAAGTTAGTGTGCAATAAATTCCACAGCAACTAGTGGGATGAACCATGGAAAGCTAGGATGGAGGCAGTGAGGGAAAGTGTGAGGTTATCATTGTAGAGTCTTTATATCACTGGAAAACACTAGAGGGGAGATTTAGGAGGCACTTCTGAGGGTGACGTGGTGGCATTATAGTGTGTGTTTAAGTTCTCATCCAGTATGAATTTATGATAATCTCTCTCTGTCAAATGCTAATCAGCATGGCACTTAATTTTCAATATGCACAATTTTGCATATATATAAAAGGGTTTGCTACAAAGACACACGTGCATTTATAAAGATTTGTTCTCTGTGAGGGAAAGAAAAATTATGCTAAGGCCCTGATCTTGTAAATACTCATTTCTTTTACTTTACCTAACCCATCCTTTCCTATACTAGGGTGAGTCACCCCATGAATTTTAACTGGACTATCCCAACAGTGAAGTTTTAAACATATATGTGTAAGAGTCTGTACGATTTGGATTTAATTCAGCTTTGAGGTTCAGAAATTAGGATCTAGGGAGTCAGGAAAGAAGAGTTGAGGTTAAAAAGAAAGTTTGCTTTGTTTTGTACTCTTTATGCATTATAATGCGAACTCTCTTTGTATCACTTTTTAACATTTTAATCAATAAATGACTATAGTGCATAGAATATAACAAATCCCAATTTGCATGGTATATCTTGGTTCTATGGTCATGGTGGTAAGATTGGGAGCTGGAGACCTGTATTTCTCTGACAGACTGCTTCTGTAACAAAGGAAAAGTTGCTCCCTTTTCTTGTGCCTTAGTTTCCCCACTGCTAAATGAAGATAATGATACCCTTCCTTGTAAAATGCCTTAAGCTAAATATTATGAGATTCCATTATTGAGCATTCAGGATTTCAACTCAGCTTGACTTTTATTTGCAACTCAGTGGGTCACAGTTGAAGAAAATAGTTTCAGTCCTTCAGGATCTGGGGCAGAAGTTCAAATAAACTGGTTTAACCTAAATCAGTTGTTTGATACTACATCCATCCAGGTTTATCTTAAACTGGTTTTGGCCATTTTGAAAGTGCTTTATGTGTACCAAACTTCAGAAACTGGTTCAAATCTGTAACGCAATAGATCACTTATAACAGTTTGTGTAATTTTTGTCCCTAGCCCTGAAGTCCTAAGCATTTAACATTGAATGCCTAGAGCTGATGATGGTCCCAAATTTGAGATGATCTCATATTCTGTGAGATCTCTTGTGGTAGACCAGTTCACTCAATCATGCTTGCTTTGACTCAGTGTAACAAGATAAATGAAAAGGTGTCAATTTATTTTATGTATTCATTCGTCAATGTAAAACTACAGAAGTTCTTGCAGGCAAATGGGACTTGTCTTTAAATGGCAAAGTGTTAACTCTCAGATACTCTGAACTAAGATATTGCCTCAATAAAAATAATACTTTGTATTTTCCAAATCTAAAATCTTTAAGTGATTTTTCACATATTAATAAATTAACCCTTGAATTTTCCCTGCCAAGGTAAATAACCATAACTGCAGATAGGGAAACTGAGGTTTGAGGAAATTAATTGTCTTGTTCAAGGTCACTTAGGAAATTTGTGACAGAGCCAGGAAGGAAAATCAAATGTCCAGCCATCTTGCTCAGTGAGTAACAGTGAGTGTTTTATGAAAAGTTTCAGCTCCTGGAGCTACTCAGTTACTTGTGAATCTCAGGTTTAGTTTCAAGGATTTTTATTTCTTTGTTTGTTTGATTGTTTTCTTGGTTGTTTTTGTTTGTTTTTAATAGAAACTTCTTGTGTTCCTTACTGTGGAAAAGGCTTGAAAATAGGACTTGAGTACAGGCAAAACGAAGTCTCCAAATCCAGGAGGCTCAAATATAAAGATCTCAAAATGCAGTAATAAGGAGAAGCTGAAATCCACATGTGATTTTTAAACTAATCTCATGACTCTTAGGAATCTGACTCTATTTTTCAGTTTTGGGGATTGGTGACAACTGCACAAGTTACCCTCAAAGCTATTTTTTCATCCCCTTTAACAGCAGACTGAATGTGGAGGCACGTGGTAACTGTTTCTTAGCCCCCAAAGTCAGAAATAGCTCTTGATGAAAATTCATTTAAAATTCCAAGTGGAAGCTTCTGTTTGCTGCCTGTAAAGTTTACAATGTAAACTTAAGAACATAATTTACCCAGACTTGGCTTGTGTTATATTTTACATTAAAACTTCAAATGGAAGCTGGTTCTGTAGGTGGCTCTGAACCAACGCTTCCTGTATGTAAAATTTTCATAAGTCA